AGTCACATGGATTGCAAGGAAATCCTTAAAGAAGAAGGGAGATGGCTACCCAGGTTGCCTTGAAAAATTGTGTGTGTTTGTGTGTGTGAGAGAGAAAGGGGGGAGGGGAGGGAGAGAAAGGAAGAGAGAGAGAAAGAGAAAGCAAAAGAAAGAGAGAAAGAGTAAGAGAAAAAGAAAGAGAGAAAGAGGAGAGAGAGAGAGACAAAAAGAGAGAGAAAGAAAGGAAAAGAGAGAAAGAGAAAGAGTGAGATAAACAGACAAAAGGAAAGAGAGAGAAGAGAGACAGAAAGGGGAGGGAGAGAAAAAGAGAGAAAGAAGAGAGAAAGGGGAAAGAGAGACAACGTGAGAGAAAGAGAAAGGAGAGAAAGTGAGAGAAAAAGAGAAAGATAAAGAGAGACGAAAAGAGAAAGAAGAGGGAGGAGGGAGAGAGAGAAAGAGAAAAAGAAAGAGTGAGATAAAAGAGAGGCAAAAAGAGAAAGAGAAAGAGTGAGAGAAACAGAGAGGAAAAATGCCCATAAATTGCCACAGAAGTCGTTCCCCTTTGGACTGGACTTCCTGCACATGGCTTAGACAAGCGGCTGTGGAGAAAACATTGCCCAGAAGCGGTTACAGGGAGTCCTCGACTTACAACAGTTCATTTAGTGTCCGTTCAAAGTTACAATGGCACTGAACAGTGACTTAGAACCAGAGGTGGGTTTCAGCAGGTTCTGACCAGTTCTGGAGAACCGGTAGCGGAAATTTTGAGTAGTTTGGTAAATGCCACCTTTGACTGGCCCCATCCCCACCTATTCTCTGCCTCCTGAGTCTCAGCTGATTGGGAGGAAATGGGGATTTTGCAGTATCCTTCCCCTGCCACGCCCACCAAGCAGGGGTGAAATCCAGCAGGTTCTGACAGGTTCGGGAGAACCGGTAGCGGAAATTTTAAGTAGTTCGGAGAACCGGCAAATACCACCTCTGGCTGGCCCCCGAGTGGGGTGGGAATGGGGATTTTGCAGTATCCTTCCCCTGCCACACCCACCATGCCCACCATGCCATGCCCACAGAACCAATAGCAAAAAATTTTGAAACCCACCACTGCTTAGAACCCTTTTTCACACTTACGACCATTGCAGCCTCCCCATGCTCAAGTGATCAAAATTCACACGCCTGGCAACTGACTCACATTTATGACGGTCGCAGTGTCCCGGTGATCACGTGATCCCCTTTTGCGACCTTCTGAGAAGCAAAGTCCATGGGGAAGCCCGATTCGCTTAACAACCGGGTTACTCACTTAATGACCGCAGCGATTCACTTAACAAATGTGGCGAGAAAAGTTGTAAAATGGGGCAAAACTCAACTTAACTTAAATTTCTCACTCAGCAACATAAATTCTGGGCTCAGTTGTGGTCATAAGTTGAGGACTACCTGTATTCCTCTAGGCCACGTAATTTATTAATTTAAGGGCACCAAACTCCGATTGACTCTGGGAGGCCTACAAAACTAGAGAAAACATATAAAACGTAAAATGCACGTCTTTTAATTTCGGATCAACCAAATAAAATTTGTAAAAAGGAGAGAAAACATAAAAAACAGTTGAAAATGCTGCATCAAACAGTCAGCCCAGACTATAATACTGGTAGTCCTCGATTTATGACTACAACTGAGCCCAAAATTTCTGTTGTTAAGCGAGACATTGTCGAAGTGGGTTTTGCCCTATTTTTACAGCCTTTCTTGCCATCGTTGTTAAGTGAATCCCTGCAGTTTTTTAAGTTAGTCAAACGGTCCTTAAGCGAATCTGGCTTTCCCCTTCGACTTGGGTCAGCGGATGGTCACAAAAGGGGAACACATGACCCCAGGACACTGCGACAGTCATAAATACGAGTCTGTTGCCGAGCATCTGAATTTTGGATCATGTGACCACGGGGGATGCTTGCCACGGTCATAAGTCACTTCTTTTCAGGGCCGTTGTAACTTCAAACGGTCACTAAATGAATGTTCATAAGTGGAGGACTATCTGTACAGAGGGAACCGGAACTTCCGACATTAAGAGCTCCCTTTTGGTCGTAAGTCAAGGGGGGGAAAAGTCAGGGTTTTTTAGGGAATTTCTCTGCAGCCACTGTAAAAAAAAAAATCCATTTATTTTTTCCCATTTTTTATTTTTATTGTATAAAATACAAAAAGAAAAGAAAATAGGAAGGGAAGGGAAGGAAAGGGAACGGGGAGGGGAAAGTGGGGAGAGATACAAAAGGGGAGAGAAAAAGAAAGAAAAGAGGGCATTGACTTCCAACTTCTCCTAGCCAAGGAAAAGATAAATACACCCAACTTTTGGCCTTGATTTGGTGTTATAGAAATGGCTAGTTATACATTAATATCAGTGGTGGGTATCAACATTTTTTACTACCGGTCCTGTGGGTGTGGTTTGGTGGGCGTGGCATGGCTAGGTGGGAGTGGCAGATGAAGGATACTGCAAAATCTCCATTCCCACCCCACTCCAGGGGAAGGTTACTGCAAAATCCCCATTCCCACTCCACTCCAAGGGAAGGATACTGTAAAATCTCCATTCCCTCCTCACTCCAGGGGAAGGATACTGCAAAATCCCCATTCCCTCCCCACTCCAGGGGAAAGATACTGCAAAATCTCCATTCCCTCCCTACTCCAGGGGAAGGATACTGCAAAATCCCCATTCCCACTCCACTCCAAGGGAAGGATACTGCAAAATCCCCATTCCCTCCCCACTCCAGGGGAAGGTTACTGCAAAATCTCCATTCCCTCCCCACTCCAGGGGAAGGATACTGCAAAATCCCCATTTCCTCCCCACTCCAGGGGAAGGATACTGCAAAATCCCCATTTCCTCCCCATTCCAGGGGAAGGATACTGCAAAATCTCCATTCCCTCTCCACTCCAGGGGAAGGATAGTGCAAAATCCCCATTCCCTCCCCACTCCAGGGGAAGGTTACTGCAAAATCCCCATTTCTTCCTGATCAGCTGAGACTCGGGAGGCAGAGAATAGATGGGGGAGGGGGGGCAGTCAGAATTTTTACTACCGGTTCTCCGAACTACTCAAAATTTCCGCTACCGGTTCTCCAGAACTGGTCCGAACCTGCTGAAACCCCACCTCTGATGAATATGTAAAAGCAAACAAATATCCATTTCTTGATTTGCATCTGAGTTCCAACTGAGTTAATTTATTCACTGGATTAATTCATTTTAAATCCTTTGGGCAAGAGAGGAGACACTGAGCGTGTTCACACCGCATGCTAAAACAGCGTATTAATACCTTATCCGTCATTGCTCGCATCCCTGTGACTCATTGTTGTTTGAAAGAGGCAAATCATGGCTACCACCACGGCGGAAAATAAAATGTGAATAAAATTTCACCTGCGTTTTGTGGGAAGAGCTGAAGGTTTTGCTTCGGCTTTTTTGATGGCATTCCCTTCAGGAAAAAGCTTCTATCTACCTGCTTTCCGTAACCACAGAACCACTCCCACGTCATCCTCCGTTTTCAACCGTCCGTTTAGCGACCGTTCAAAGTTACGACGGCCCTGGAAAAAGGGACTGAGGACCCGTTTTTCACACTTACGACCGTTGCACGATTCCCATGGTCACGTGATTCAAAATTGGGAATAAGACTCGTATTTATGACGGTTGCAGTGTCCCGGGGTCACGTGATCCCCTATTGCGACCGTCTGACGAGCAAAGACCATAAGGAAGCCAGATTCATTTAACGGCCGTTTCACTAGCTTCATAACTGCGCTGATTCACTTAACAACGGTGGCGAGAAACCCCGTCAAACGGGGTAAGTTGACAATAACCCATGTCTTGCTTACAAACAGAACTTTTTGACTTGATTGTGTTCATAAGTCAAGGATTACCTGTACAGGTAGTCCTTGACTCACAACGGTTCATTTAGTGACCGTTCGAAGTTAGAACGGCACTGAAAAAAGTGGCTTATGACCGTTTCTCACTCCTATGACCATTGCAAATTATACCCAGGCAATACACTGTTCACAAACCAGCTAGGTTTGTTAAATGAAAATGTATAAATAAACTGTTGAAAGGAAGGAAGGAAGAAGGGAGGAAGAGAGAGAAAGAAAGAGAAAGAGAAAGAGAGGGGGAAGGAAGGAAGGAAGGAAGGAAGGAAGGAAGGAAGGAAGGAAGGAAGGAAAAGAAAGAAGGAAGGAAGGAAAAGAAAGAAGGAAGGAAGGAAGAGAGAGAGGGGGAAGGAAGGAAAAGAAAGAGAGGGAAGGAAGGAAGAGAAAAAGAGGGGGGAAGGAAGGAAGGAAGGAAGGAAGGAAGGAAAAGAAAGAGAGGGAAGGAAGGAAGGAAGAAAGAGCGAGGGGGGAAGGAAGGAAAAGAAAGGGAAGGAAGGAAGGAAGAGAGGGGGGAAGGAAGGAAGGAAGGAAGGAAGGAAGGAAAAGAAAGAGAGAGGGAAGAAAGGAAGAGAGAAAGAGGGTGGAAGGAAGGAAGGAAGAAAGGAAGAGAGAGAGAAAGAGAAAGAGAGGTGGGAAGGAAGGAAGGAAAAGAAAGAGGGAAGGAAGGAAGGAAGAGAGGGGAAGGAAGGAAGGAAAAGAAAGAGGGAAGGAAGGAAGGAAGAGAGAGAGAAAGAGAAAGAGAGGTGGGAAGGAAGGAAGGAAGGAAGGAAAAGAAAGAGGGAAGGAAGGAAGAGAGATGGGGAAGGAAGGAAGGAAGGAAGGAAGGAAGGAAAAGAAAGAGAGGGAAAGAAGGAAGGAAGGAAGGAAGGAAGGAAGGGAAGAAAGAAAGAAAGAAAGAAAGAAAGAAAGAAAGAAAGAAAGACAGAAAGAAAGAAAAAGACAGACAAACTTGGGGCCTGCTTTCTGCCTCTAAGAACATGTGTCTCCATTTCTCCTTCGGGGAAAATATAATATTCTGCCTCTTAATATTTCCCCAAAATATTTCATTCTTCTGGGGGGGGAGGGAGGGGGCTTCCCACAAGGGCAAAACTGGGATGATGACGGAGCTGTTTTTGGAAGTAACCCTCTTCCTTCTCTTCTCCTTCCCAGTTGCAGACTGCAAAGCCCCCCGAGAAATCTCGCACGGCTCCGTCACCTTCTCCACCCCCCAAAACCTGACCACGTACCAGTCGGAGATCCGGTATTTCTGCCAAGAGCCCTTCTACCAAATGGTTCCCAACGTCACAGGTGAGGGTCTTCCTGGGGTCCTCCGGGGAACATGTTGCTTGGGGGCCTCCAACCCTATTTATCGCGGAGACGCATTCAGACAACATCGCCAAGTTTCGGCTAGTCTTAAACCTGGGAGGTTTCTGGCAGCTTTGCGTGCTGAGTTAGCCCAGCTTTTTAAGTTGGCTTCTGGTTCCAGCTGTCGTACAAACCCCCCAAAACGGGTTAGGTTCAGATCCAGGTTAAGGGTGTTGTGTGAATGCGGCAGTGAAGTCAACAGAAGGAGAACAGTCACAAAATGGGGCAAAGAGATTCAAGGTATAGAGGGCTGGACAAGGAAAGGATGCTCGGTCCAAGATGGTCCATCCTGACCGTCAGAAGACTAATTTGGGATTCCAACTGGAGTCGAGGTTGCGCGAGAATAAATAAAAATGAGATCCAGACGGCGGTCAGGAAAGAAGAAATATTTATTCCTCAAAGCAAAATAGTTTGCCTTTAGAGACAGGCTGCTAAGAAATGGTGTGTGTGTGTTGGTATGTTTATTCTTGTGAGCATGCAGTTCCTCTGGGAGACCTCATTTAATTAACCCTGTTTATGTGTGCAGGCCTTATCCTTTGATATGTGGATTGGGTCTGGCTAACTTGTTTGGGGGGTTTGAGGAACTTTGCTCATTTTTTTTAGTTGGTTTCAGCTTGACCGTCAATTATCCAGTGGAGACCCCGATTCTTGGACCCTTGTGGGTTCTGTTAATATGTTCGGGGGGGAATGGAAACAGTATAAACTAGAATCAAATATATTTGGGTATCAAACTTCTCGCACGGCAAACCTTTCTGCAATTCTGTCAGGCGTTTGAGGTCGACCCGTAATCAGATTTCCAGAGGGAGATGATAGGTTGGAGGAGAAAGATTGCTGTACAATAAAAAAGATGAAATGGAAGAAAGGCAACCCAGAACAAACACAAATATATTAAGATAAAGAATGAATCGTTAAAGAATAAAAGCGAATAAATATGAATAAGCAGGAAAATTAGAATTTGAGGGCGAACGAAGAGGTTGTTTATGTAAGTAAACAAAGAAATATTGAGATATGATTTAAAAAAAAGGGGGGGGAAAGAAAATTGTGGCAAACATTGTAATGGAGTAAAATGTGTTTGAATTTGATAAATTGTATAAGATAAGATGGAGTCCACTGAGTCTCCAGAGAGGGGTGGCATATAAATTTAATAAATAATAATAATAAAATAATGGCCAATACTCCGTTCAAAAAAAGATGTGGGTGAATTTGGAGGGGGGAAAAACAAATAAAACTTGATATAAAAAAAAATCAGATTTCCACCTTTTGCTTTTCGGCAGGGATCTTCGCCTGCGATGCCAAAGGCGCGTGGAGAAGCAGCGAGCTGGGGACCCGTCTACCGTCCTGCCAGCCAGGTACCCCAATTCCCTCCCCAACTCCCAGCACACACAGACACACAACGCATGGCTTCCTTTCTTTCAGGCCAAAATTGTGATCGCCTTCTGCAAAACTCCTTCCTACATCAGCAACAGACACCAAGGTTAAAATACCCCTGATTGTTTTTGTTTGTTTTTTTTGCTTTAATTTATATGCCGCCCTTCTCCGGAGACTCAGGGCGGCTTACAATGCGCTAAGCAATAGCCTTCATCCTTTTGTATATTTTTATACAAAGTCAGCTTATTGCCCCCACAAACTGGGTCCTCAATTTACCTACCTTAGAAAGGATGGAAGGCTGAGTCAACCTTGAGCCTGGCGAGATTCGAACCTGCAGTAATTGCAAGCAGCAGTTGTTAATAACAGTCCTTTAGTCCACTGTATTACAGGCTGTTTCCCCGAAAATAAGACATCCCCTGATAATAAGCCCAATCGGGCTTTTGAGCGCATGCACTAAAATTAGCCTCCCCCCAAAAATAAGCCCTCCCCGAAAATATTTAAACGCAGAGCTGGAAATCAGGTAAGACGGCAAGAGGAGCCCCATCTTGCTCCATGCACCCCAAAAGAGCCTTGGTGGCACAGCAGATTAATGCACTGTTAAGTAACACCAGCTGCCTGCAATTACTGCGAGTTCAAATCTCACCAGGCTCAAGGTTGACTCAGCCTTCCATCCTTCCGAGGTAGGTAAAATGAGGACCCGGATTGTGGGGGCAATAAGCTGACTTTGTATAAAAAAGAACACCGCTTGGGGGGGCCAAAAAGTCCTACTAAGCAGGTATATACAAAAGTGTGAAGGCTATTGCTTAACACATTGTAAGCCGCCCTGAGTCTCCGGAGAAGGGCGGCATATAAATCGAACCAATAAATAAATAAATAAATAAAATAAGAAGACCTCCCCAAAAATAAGGCCAAGCATTTATTTCGGGGTTCAAAAAAATATAAGACAGGGTCTTATTTTCGGGGAAAACACGGTAGATGCCTCGAGGGTGTCGTCAGTTTTTAGAATAAAACAAGCCAGCTGTTAACTAGGTTTTCTTCTTGGAGGACAGGACAGAGCTCAGGGTGTGACGAGGTGGCTACTAACCGGGTTTTCTTCCTGGGAAGACCAGGGCAGCGCTTGGGGTGCCAACGAAAGTCGATCAACGAAGAAAACTGCAAAATTTCACACAACGTGTTGTAGCTGCTGCATTCCCACAACCCCGTGTTAAATGGGGTTGCAAAGAGACCTGGTTCTGTTCGTTGCATTGTCGCTTGTGGTAGGAACTGAACATTACGGGGCTGAAATCCCTACAATCTATTGTAGGTTTGGGGCTTTGCTTTCGAGGGGGAGAAAATTTCACACGGTTTGCGCTGATTTGACGCATCCAAGAGGTTCTCCACGCTTGCCAATTGGGGGTGAAGTGGGAAGCGAAGTGTTTGTGTTTGATTTATCCAGGCTGAAGCTTTCGTTAGAAACTGTCCAGCTGTGGGACAGCGAATGCTTTGTCGTGCGTTTGTGTTCTTCCTTCACAATCTGCTCTCGCGATACAGCCTGGATGGTGTATAACCCAGTTTGCATGCCAGGGAAAAAAACGACATGCTGGCTAATCCAGCAACTACCGAATAACAGAGTCGGAAAGGACCTCGGAGGTCTTCTAGTCCAACCCCCTGCTTAGGCAGGAAACCCTACACCACCTCAGACCAATGGTTGTCCAATCTCTTCTTAAAAACTTCCAGTGTTGGAGCGTTCGCAATTTCTGGAGGCAAGTAGTTCCACTGGTTAATTGTTCTCACTGTTAGGAAATTTCTCATTTAATTCCAGGTTGCTTCTCTTCTTGATTAGTTTCCATCTGTTGCTTCTTGTCCTGCCTTCAGGGGCTTTGGAGAATAGCTTGACTGCCTCTTCTTTGGGGCAGCCCCTGAGATATTGGAAGATATTGGAAGATATTGGAAGATGCTCTCATGTCTCCCCTGGTCCTTCTTCTCATTAAACTAGACCTACCCAATTCCTGCAACCGTTCTTCCTATATTTTAGCCTCGGTAATCCTGGGGAGCAGAGCCAAAGGTTCAGTGCGCTTCCCCAGATGTGCGAGCGACAATCCTACAACTTTTCTTGTTCTGTTGTGTTGCTGGTGGTCCTAGATCAGCTCCAAAGAACGAGCAAGTCATCCTAGACAGAACGACGTAGCCGCTTCCCCACATGCGTGGCCATCCCACCGAGGTATTTGAGATGCGCAGATTAAGCAATGATGGATTATACCATGTGAGGGGACTCCATCATTGCTGGTAGATCATGCCACTTTTCAAAGAAGGGCAGGGAAAAATCTTTGGATACGATGGAAATCGGTCGCTTTCACTCTTAAGATCCATGCCGGTGAACAGATTTAATTTAATTTGATTTGATTTGATTTGTATGCCGCTCTATCTCCATAGGACTCAGATCCTGAAAGAATTCTGGGAATGCTATCTTACAGGTAGTCCTCGATTTATAACAGTTCATTTACTGATGGTTCAAAGTTACAACGGCACTGAAAAAAGGGCCGTTTTTCACACTTATGGCCATCGCAGCCTCCCCGCAATCACGTGGTCGAAATTCAGACGCTTGGCCACTGACTCGTATTTATTACTGTCGTGGTGTCCCATGATTCCCCTTTTGCGACCTTCTGATAAGTAAAGCCCATGGGGAAGTTGGATTCTCTTAACAGCCATGTTTCTAACTTAAGAACCGCAGTGATTTGTTTAACGACGGTGGCAAGAAAGGTCATAAAATGAGGCAAACGTCACTTAACAAATGTCTCAGTTAGCAACGTAAATTTTGGGCTCAATTGAAGTTGTTAAATCGAGGATTACATGTATTGATACAGAAGAGAATAGGATAGAATAGAATAGAATAGAATAGAATAGAATAGAATAGAATAGAATAGAATAGAATAGAATAGAATAGAATAGAATAGAATAGAATAGAATAGAATAGAATAGAATAATACAGAAAATGAGAATAGAATAGAAAATAGAAAAAAGGAATAGAATGGAATAGAATATAGAAAATGAGATAGAATAGAAAATAGAAAAAAGGAATAGAATAGAATAGAATAGAATAGAATAGAATAGAATAGAATAGAATAGAATAGAATAGAATATAGAAAATGAGAATAAAATAGAAAATAGAAAAAAGGAATAGAATAGAATAGAAAATAGAAAATAGAAAAAGGAATAGAATAGAATAGAATAGAATAGAATAGAATAGAATAGAATAGAATAGAATAGAATAGAATAGAATAGAATAGAATAATATAGAAAATGAGAATAGAATAGAAAATAAAAAAAAGGAATGGAATAGAATTAGAATAGAATAGAATAGAATAGAATAGAATAGAATAGAATAGAATAGAATAGAATAGAATAGAATATAGAAAATGAGAATAAAATAGAAAATAGAAAAAAGGAATAGAATAGAAAATAGAAAATAGAAAATAGAAAATAGAAAATAGAAAATAGAAAAAGGAATAGAATAGAATAGAATAGAATAGAATAGAATAGAATAGAATAGAATAGAATAGAATAGAATAATATAGAATATAGAAAATGAGAATAGAATAGAAAATAGAAAAAAGGAATAGAATAGAATAGAAAATAGAAAATAGAAAATAGAAAAAGGAATAGAATAGAATAGAATAGAATAGAATAGAATAGAATATAGAAAATGAGAATAGAATAGAAAATAGAAAAAAGGAATAGAATAGAATAGAATATAGAAAATGAGAATAGAATAGAATAGAATAGAACAGAACAGAACAGAATAGAATAACAGAGATGGAAGGGACCTTGGAGGTCTTCTAGTCCAGCCCCCTGTTCAAGCAGGAGATCCTATTTCAGACAAGTGACTGTCCTGTCTCTTCTTAAAAAAAAAAAAACTCGGCATGGATTTTAAGAGAAAGTTAATCAGAAGAAACTAAAGAATTGCAGAGAATTTTATGCCGGGGGAAATAATTGCATGTTTGAAAAATAATTCATTGCACAGTTTATTTATTTATTTTTTGTAATCCTAAACTTCCTTCCTTTTGCTATTCAAGTGCGCCTGGTTTCTTGGGGACGAATCTGCCATGTAATTCAAGTTTGAAATTGTCATATCAATGCAAAATCGAAAGGCGAGCTTTCTTCATTTTAAATCAGGCATGTAAATTTGGTGTTTCGACGGCTGGCTTGTTGTCAATCCAGGGGTCTCTCCCAATGAAATTAAATGCAATCCAGTTTGCCAAGAATCACCATCCAAGACAGGTAGTCCTCAACTTACAACCGTTCACTTAGTGACGTTTCGAAGTTACAACGGCACTGGAAAAAGTGACTTGTGACGGTTTTTCACACACTGTTTTGAAACCGTTTTTCAGACGGTTGCAGCATCAACCGACAGTCACGTGATCAAAAATTCAGGCACTTGGCAACTGGCATGTACTTATGATGGTTGCAGTGTCCGGGGTCACATGATCAGTTTTTGTAACCTTCCCAAACTTCCCGACAAGCAAAATCAATGGGGGAACCCAGAGTCGCTTAATGACTACATGATTCATTTAACAACTGCCGTGAAGAGTTGCAAAATGGGACAAAACATCCTTAGCCACGCCCTCGCTTCGCCCTAAAAAATGTGGGCTCAATTTGTGGTCGTAAGTTGAGGACTACCTGTGCTACGTTGTAGGTAGGACATCGGATGACAGAGGGCAAATTTGGCATAATCTACCACAATTCGCAGCTTTGCTCTGTTTGCGGGAGTGCCGAAGGCTAATTGTGCGCTGTGTTGTTTTCCTTCCTTAGTGTGTGGACAACCCAGCCGCGCTCTGCCTACCCTGGTCAAGCGAATAATCGGCGGGAGAAACGCAGAACCTGGTTTTTTCCCCTGGCAAGCTCTGATCGTGGTTGAGGACACGTCTCGGGTGCCCAACGACCGGTGGTTCGGCAGCGGAGCCCTCCTGTCCGAATCGTGGGTCTTGACCGCCGCTCACGTCCT